GGGGCCGAGGGGCACGGCGAGGGGCTGTGCGGAGCCCGCTGCGGGCGGGGCGCGGACCGGGAGGGCCTGCGGGCCGGGGCCCTGTGGGTAGGGCCCGCGCCGGGTGCGCGCCTGGGTGGCCTGAGGGAGGGGAATGGCAGCCGGAGCGGGGCCGCGGGTGACTCTGGAAGGCCGAATAGGCCGCGGCAAGGAGATGGCGGTGCCTGGGGAGCGGCTCTGTCGTCTGCAGGGTTTCGTGCGGGAGCGGGCTGGCCCTCTCGGGAGGGAGGTGGCTCTGCTCGATGTTGGCTGCCGGACTGCGGCCCTCTGTTCGAAGTGCCCCGGGAGAAGCTGGGCGGCTTCAGTCTCCCGCCGTTTCGTCACTAGCTCTCGAGTTACAACGTCAGGGAGAGGCGTTGGGCGGCTGCAGCGCCGCTTTGGGTGCTGAGCGCTCTGCTGCCCTGTCAGGAGAGGGGAGGGGAGCAGCCGAGGAGATGGCTACTTGCTCTGAAACTTAACTCTGCTTTGCCTCCCAACAGGCTAAGCGCACCAAGAAGGTTGGGATTGTGGGTAAATATGGTACCCGTTACGGTGCGTCGCTTAGGAAAATGGTGAAAAAGATTGAAATTAGTCAGCACGCCAAGTATACCTGCTCCTTCTGTGGCAAGGTGAGGAACTGCCTGCTTTAAAAGTGTCTTTTAAAATAGCTTTGTTATTGATGCTAGAAATGCGGTTTGATGCTTTGGTAGTTTTTTCTGATGAAGACATAACTCGATTCGTTTTGAGACAGTGATTAGTTTATTATGAGCTTTAGGCTACTCTTGGAATCCCTTATAAAATAAAAAGTTAGTAGACTTTTCATGTCTGTGTTTAGTGGTAGTTAAATGAAAACAAACATAACTTATATTCTGTTACACAAATAGTGAGAAATATTGCCATACAGTATGTTTTAGGCATCTAATAAAAAGTCTTGACAGAGTTAAGAAAACACTTGTTATTATGATAATTAAGGTGTGTCTTGGGCTTTTTTTTCCCTTCCCTTCAGTAAATTTACAGCTTATCTGGAGGAGGAAGAGAGCTTGCTTTTCACACTTAAAACTTAAATTATTTGTGTGCTGTATAACTCTCGATGGGGAAGGATTTCTGATAAGAAGTAATCTTACTTGCTTGTGTACGTAATCAAAATTCACTCAAATCTGGTTTTTGACAGTTTGAGAGACCTATCGGCTTATGCTTTGCCAAGATGATTTTTATTAATATCTCTAAAGTAGGTATCTTTAAGTGACTGGAAATTTAAAGATCTTTCCTTTTTTTTTTTTTTTTATATTCAGCATCTTTTTCATGTGAAGTGAGAACATTGATAACTCCATTTGCAGAGCTGTCTAAATCCAATATAGGTTTAAGCAAACCCATTGTCATCTTCGCAAGGTGATGGGAGACTTGCCTGGGGGAAGGGAGTTCAGCACCCACCACTCAGTGTTTGAATGCTCTTCAGAGGGGTCTGATTTAGAGCAATCTTGGGATGTCCAGGGAGCAGTAGTAAAAGCAGAACATTCCCTGATCCTTGCCTGTCTTAACTAGGCTTATAGTTATTATAGATGATGCTGAAGTCCTTGTCTGAAGTTTGTTGTTTTCCGACTTTTTCAGATAATGGAAAGTGCATTTCTTTTCTTTCCTTTTATTCCAGACCAAAATGAAGAGGAAGGCTGTGGGTATCTGGCACTGTGGATCCTGCATGAAGACAGTTGCTGGTGGCGCCTGGACTTACAAGTAAGGACATGAAGAAGCTCCTGTCAGCATTTATCCTCACTTAGCTGAGGCATAATACAGCTTTTTTTATTATTATTTTTTTATCTACTAAACATTCATTAAGTAGATGTGTCTTGAGTTAATGATATGTGGGGGGGTTTTGTCTGCATTATTAAAGTTTGATTGGAATGGGTCAGATTGGATTTGATTACTGTTCTTTCCAGTATCTGCACATGCAGCTGCTGAGAATATTGCATTTTATCCATCATATTGCTGCTGCTGGTTTTGGTGGGTCCCTCCAAAATTTCTTTATCTCGCTGGACTTTTACCAAAGCATGGGTTTTTTTCTTCAAAAATATGAGCTCTGCATGTTTTCCCAAACTTCAAATAAAGAAATTGAAACATCTGCACATGTTGAAACTGATATTTTTATTTAAGTAGTCTCTTTTGTGCCTTGGCTGTAGTAGAATTTCTGACTGGACATGTGAACTACAGTTGTTGCTTGTATGAGATACCAGGCTTGGGCCAGGTTTTTGGTGATGTTGGAAGAAAAGGAGTAGAGGATGCCTGGTTCATGCAGTTATCTCAGGGTGAAGCCATCTGTATTGAAAATATCTGATATATATTCATCCAACCTAATCTAAAAAGAGCTTCAACAGCTAATAAATTATGCCTCTGACCTAGGGATTATTTTTCTGCTCCTGATTCTTTTCACTGTATAAAAATCTTAATTGTGTAAGGGAACTCTTTAGCTCTTCTTTCAAAGCCTGAGCAGCATTTTTTTTTTATGGTTACTACCCCTGACTTTTTAGTTGAGACACACAGATACAGTAGGCAAAACCAGGTTTACTCCAAGAAGAATTATTTTCATGTTTTGCTTTTGTTTTAAAAGCATTGAATCCATATTATTGTGATGCTGCCCTTGCTTACTTTCTTTCCTCTTCCCCCCCCCCAAGTTCTAGTAGGAGACACTGTTGCCCCACACTTAACAGTCGCTGTGAGTCTGAGCCCGTGTAGTAGGGCGTGACTGGGTAATTTGAGTTGGGATGTAGCTTGTGAAGTTGCTTGTGCCTCTGTAGTCAAAGGCCTATGCTTTGTTGTCATGAAAATCAAAGTGAAATTAGCCTCCTGTTGACAGTGCAATCAGACGATAACTATTTGAAATGATTAGTGCTTTCTCAAAAACTAAGTGGCCTGGGTTGTTCTGCTGCCATGTGCAAATGACTCTGCTTCTTCTCTTCCAGTACCACCTCTGCAGTGACAGTCAAATCTGCGATCAGAAGACTGAAGGAATTGAAAGACCAGTAGAAGCTGCTTCCTGTTCTTGTGAAACACCCTTTGTTTCCCCACTGTCAAGATCAGTCCTTTCAACAATAAAAAGGTGAAAAAGGAGTGGAATCATGTTTGTCTTTCTGTAAAAAATCCTGTCTGTCTTGCTGCATGTGGTGGGTTGACACTGGCTGGATATCAGGTCCCACCAAAACTGTATCACTCCCCTGCTTAGCTGGACAGGGGCGAGACAATATAACGAAAGGCTTATGGGACAAGATAAGAACAGAGAGAGATCACTCACCAACTGCTGTCACAGGCAAAACAGACTCAACTTCGGGAAATTAGTTTAATTCATTACCAGTCAAATCAGAGTAGGATAATGAGAAATAAAAACAAATCTTAAAAACACCTTCTCCTCTCCTCCCTTCTTTCCAGGCTCAACTTCACTCCAGATTTTCTCTGCCTCCTCCCCCACAGGGGTGCAGGGGGACAGGGAATGGAGGTCACAGTCATTTCATCACATGTTGTTTCTGCTGCTCCTCCTTCCTCCTCAGGGGGAGGACTCATCACCGGAGGAGGTCCCTCCCACAGGAGACAGTTCTCCATGAACTTCTCCAGCGTGGGTCCTACCCACAGGCTGCTGTTCTTCACAGATTGCTCCAGTGTGGGTCCCTCCCACAGGGTGCAGTCCTGCAGGAACAGGCTGCTCCAGCGTGGGTCCCCCACAGGGTCACAAGCACTGCCAGCAAACCTGCTCCAGTGTGGGCTCCTCTCTCCACGGGGCCACAGGTCCTGCCAGGAGCCTGCTCCAGCGTGGGCTTCCCACAGGGTCACAGCCCCTTTGGGCATCACCTGCTCTGGTGTGGGGTCCTCCCCCAGCTGCAGGTGGAGATCTGCTCTGCCATGGACCTCCATGGGTGCAGGGCACAGCCTGGCTCACCATGGTGTTTATCCCCTTTAAATATGTTTTCCCAGAGGTGCTTCCACTGTTGCTGATGGCCTTGGCCTTGGCTGCGGCAGGGCCATCTTAGAGCTGGCTGACACTGGCTCTGTTGGACAGAGGGGAAGCTTCTAGCAGCTTCTCACAGAAGCATCCCCTGTAGCCCCCTGCTACCAAAACCTTGCCACACAAGTGCAATGCTCTGTACTGTATAGGTATGTATGGAGACATTAGTAGTGCTATCCAGTAGTTGAGTGGCTCTTGCTACTGGTGAATCCATTAAAAACCACTTTGCCAGTTAATTGCATACTTTGTTGCTTGAATGCACTGGGGTGAATCTGAGGAAAGCTTAAATAGCTTAAAGAAGCCTGGCTCATCTTGATATGTCCTTCATGTCTAAGGAATTGTGTAGAGCTCCATGAGTGGAGGAATGGACAGATGTAAGGAGGGGAGTAGAGGACATGGAAAACACCATTCTGCCTCTTCCTATTTGCCTTTGAGGAGGACTCGGGGGGAGTAGAGCGTGTGCTGCAAGATGAAGAGAAAAAGAACATCCTGACTGGTTTGGGGGCAGAGATTGGAATGGTTAAAGACCAGCTGTCGTTCTCTGTTGCTGGCTGGTGCCACTAATTTTATAGCACCAGCTACAGATGCATGCTTATTGCAGCCTGAAGTGTGTTCTGCTGTCTGCACATCTCAAGGTTAGTCCCCCTGAATGCTCCCTATGGCTTCTGGGCTCCCATGGCAGGCTCCCAGGTCTGTATGTTCAACTTGCTTAGTCTGTACTGAGTTACAACAATTAATTTTCATGTTGAGCCAACTGCTGGGACATTTGTTTTGGAGGAAAAGCTGCTGTCTGAGTTAAGGATTGCTTCCAAATCATCCCTTTAGATTGTCAAGATCCTGGAACATTTTTTATGGTCTCTTTTTCAGGTTTGTTTTGATTTGATTTGAGGTTTGGTTTTGTCTGGGTGTTTGGTGACTGTAGCACCTCTCCTGTCCTTAACAATACAGAAAAGTCAGAAAACAAGTCATAGTAATAGATAGCTCCTGGTGGAAGAATAGTAAGCAGGTAGCATAGCAGTTGCTTGCTCTTGCTCCAACTTAAGCTTTAAATGGATTTGGGTGGTGATGAGCTATAGTAATAATGTCACAGAACTGGACCTAAGTAGGACCCTTTTCCCAAGCTGCAAAAAGTCTGTGCCTCAGAAGCTTGACTGCAGTGTCCCTGAAGTTGTTTCCTAAACTTTTTTTTTTATTTTATTTCCGTGCTCTAAACTTCCCTTACTAAAGTAAATTAATATATTCAGGTATTCACTGACACTCATACCAACCTACCATCCTTCGTGTCATCTTCCAACAGTGATGAGGGTCATTCCCTGGGACTCAATCTGCTTTCTGGGTGAGAGATCCCTGCACATTTTGCTGCTGACACACCTTGCCATGTGGGGTGAAAGAGTGTGTGACAGTCTTGAAGTGGAGGCAGCAGTGGATGTCTCTCCTTAGAAGCAATGGCTTATTTCTGTATATGTAGATGAACACCATCGTGGTCTTCTGCATGTGTGTCTTCTGTTATAGCAGGGTTATGGAGGAAACTTCTGGGTTCAAGAAACGCTTAGCTCAACTCTGCCTCATTTTTGCTGCTGCTTTTCTTAGACGACGCGTCCACAGCTGCTTTGTCTATGTACTTGTCAGACCTCCCAGCTCAGTACTGGGCCCTGCTGTTGCTGGTCCTGGTTTGTGCTAACCAGCTTTCTTAGGATGACATCTCCAAGGTGCCTTGAAATTTATTTTCAGTTAAAATGTTTCTGCTCCCTTGGGGATGCCTTGCATACTGATGTGCAGATAGCTAGAACAGCTCAAAGCCAGCTTTTCTCCTGTCTGCTGCTCCCACTGAAGACAGAGTGAATGGTGCATGAGGATGGCTTATGCTACTGTGTGGATACCCCCGCCACCTGAAAAACAGCAGCTGACCTGCCGCAGTGAATTTATGAAGGGGCACTGCCCCTGACTTTGTCTTGCCTTCCTATGTAGGTCTATGAAGTGCTGTGGCCCAGGAGCTGCTTTGCAGGTAAGTGAGCCATCCTTTAGGGAACCTCAGTGAGGAGGAAGGGTTGGGGAGCTGGTATAGGCTGGGTGCCCAGAAGCAGCTGTGTGTCCTGCTTAGACCTCCAGGAAAAGGGGTGAAGTTCATGGGGGGAGCTGCTCCAGTTGCCAGCTCACATGGAGATGAGCTTGCTCAGCAGGTACTGGCCATGCATCTGTGCATCACCTTGGGAGAGAGCTTTTGAGAAGTTTTCTGAGCAATGACAGCACTTCTTAAACTGCATCAAAATGAAGAAATGATCTTCCATCATGCTAAAGGTGTCTCCATGTGAGCCCTTTACTTAGGAAATTGTGATAAAACCATGTGAACACTGATTACTTTGCTTGCTACATCATCATGCAAAAGCATTTGTTGGTAAAACACTCAGTGTGCTTGGGAGAGGTTACTCTGGTGATGTGTCCATACAGCTCTGCCTCTAGAAGGAGCCCTGAGGGGCTTGGGTTTCTCTGTGGAGGTCCTTGTTTCTACAGGGAGGCACCATGCAGCCAGTTGCAGCAGGTGAGGTCTGACAGCTTAGAAACAGCAGCTCAGCTTCCTGCGAGGTGGGCTTGAGGATGGGAGGGGGAAATGCTGTTTTCAGTGAAGCTGCAGAAGAGGTCCAAAACTCCAGCACCACCTGCATGAGGTGTTCACACTGGAGCAAAACTTCATAGGGATCTGCAGTGATACAGGAGCCATGGATATGGCTCATCTGCCACAGGAAAGTCACTGCTATGCCTCAGTGATCTGCCAGAAAAAAGTATTGCTCAGTCCTTGGAACAGCTGCAGCTATCCCCTGGTTAAACATGCCCTTCTCTCCTCTGGACTTCTTGAGCTGCTAAAACCAGATGTAAGTGGCAAGCAAGAGTGTGCTCCTGGCAAATTTGGATTTACCTGCTGTCTCCAAGGCTTGTAGCTGGCTGTGACAGCTGCTGTGTGGAGGTATGTGTTACCAGCTCTTGCTGCCTTTACAAGCAGGATAGTGTTGTTCTGCATATGGCCTTTTATTCTTGACTCAGTGTGCTTGGGTCACACTCCCATGTCCCTCTTATGTCCTGGTTCTGGGTGCTGAGATATGATTGCACACCCCTGTGCTTTCTTCATTAATGCAGATGTTGTAATTAAAGTACAGGTTTCTGATTAAAGCTCACTCAACTGCTATGAAGTAGCCATTCATTAACAGGTGCAGAGGATATGTTTCGTTATGTTGGTATCCCAGGATGATTGCACAGGTATCTTAGATAAGGTGACTTCTATTCCTGCTGAGGAAATTATTAATTACCTTTGGGATCACTATTTGCAGAGGGTGAAAGCTGGGTAGAAAAAGGGTGGGGAAAGGAAGAAAAGATCAGGATGTGAGATGATTATTTTGATCTGGACTGTGTGGTCCTATCTGCATCCCTGCATGGGCTGTGCTCGCAGAGCTCCTGGGCTGCTTGTGTTCCCCTAAAAGCACCGTGGTACCCTGGCTTGCTCCTGAACAGAAGCATTTTGTGCTGGCGAACTTCAGGGCTGCCAATTCCGCACGTTTCCCCGAAGTGTGATCAGGGCAGGAAAGAGGAAGGATGCTGGTCAGAGCACTGTCAGCTGGCAATGCTGCGAGCGGCCAGCGGGCGACACTGCCGCTCTGCTCCTCAGTGTTGCAAGGCTGCTGCTTGGCTGCATCTTCTCAGCTTCGCTTCCCTTCCCATCCATAAGAAAGTCTCTGCTCACCTGTACACCTACTATAGCTTCCTAGCGTTTCATGCTTCCCCCCTAAAACAGACCATGATGGTGATTTTAGGCTGAAATAGGAGTCTGTGCCAAAAGAGATCAGGAGGTAGAAATAGGGAAGTTGGAGACAGACGGGTTGTCACCTCTAACAGTTGCTGAATTTGTGTCATTGCTCTATCCAAACCCTGTATGTATCCTAGGAGTATTTGTTGTATTAGCAGTTATGTGATTTGGCCGGGTGATGTTCAAAATTTGTTTCCTCTGGGAATCTAGGGTGAAATCAGGAATTTTTAGCAATTTTACTTACTGCTTTCAACATACTTGTTGTTGAGCCTTAGTCAGAAACTTAGACAGAATTTTCTTAGATGCTGTAGAAGCAGAGAGTAA